TTTTTCAACTGTTGAAAGAATTATATTATTCCCACTCGGTCAGAACCCATTTTGACTTTTACATACTGTACCAGGTATTACTACTTGCTGAAAGATTGCCTTGAAACATTGAGGGACAACAAGGTTATATTATCTTAACATGTTCCACTCAATGGTTTTTGATTGTGTTATGAAGTGCCCTCACATTGGTTACCAAAAATGTATCGCTATTTTAAGAGTCACACTATTAAGGAACCACACATCTACAGAGCTAATATTTGTGAATTATAACCCGACAAGCTTTTTAGAGATCTGTCAGCACAGTCATATTAAATCACCCCCTCGGGTGGTCTGTTTCTTACATTCCCTCCATAGCATGATTTGCTTGGGAGGATATGGGAGGATATGTGTCATTTGAGTTTACCAAAGAAACTCTTGCCTCATCAAGAATCCCCAACACGAGGCATGGCACTTTGCCCTAACATCGCAGCAGAGAACACTCTTCCTAACCTTTCTATGCAAGTCTGACTCAGTTCCTCTTCATGCTCCACAATGACGAGAAAAAAGAGGGAAGAAGTAAGAGAGACGACAGACCAGGGAGGAGAGACGAGAAAAAGGAAGGAAAACATAATCATCATCTGGCTGGGATGCATATTTGTGCACTTTTGTTAAAAATATTTTAAAATATCGTTTTTCTTTGGTGGTTACTTCTGAGGTGGAAAGAAAGGTGACAGGATGGGGGAGGGTCCCACATAGAGGACATCAAATTAGTGATAATTTTAACATTTGGACGGAGAGTTACTTGAGTTGTCACTGAATCCTTATTCTTCATCATTTACCATGCTTTTGTATATATTCAATATTTATGAAAACAATTCTGCAAGTCCCACGGTGACATGGGTGGTAAGCGATAAAGTACAGTTAGTTAAGGGCAAAGGGTCTGAAGTTAAAATGGTATTCGTTGAAGGCCAGTTCCACCACTTACTAGTTCTGTGACCTTGGGCAAGCTACTAACCCAGTTACCTTATCTGTAAAGTGGAGATAATAACTACCTATCTAGGTTTACTAGGAGGATTAAGAGATTAGCACAGTGACTGACACATCCTAAATCCTCAATATGCCAGCCAGCTATTATTATTATTAAAAGAATAGGTTCTCTGCCCAATGACCTTTCTTGAGTGTGTACACTGTTTCTTGCATTTTCAATCATTCATCTGGTAAATAAAGATTTGTTAACAGAATGATTTATTGAATAAAGATATCAACAATCAAGTGCACTTTTTTTAACTGAAATTCTATTTTGTCGTTCTCTAGAAGATGCCCAAATGAATGAGAGAAACAAATTTAACAGTCCCACAAGAAAAGTGGGAAGAATGTGCATCTGCAGACACCCTTTCAGAGGAGTTTAATTAATATTAGCAGTGTTAGCTGTCACGTACAGGAGACCAATCCAGCATTAACTTTAAAGTTCAAAGACATCTACCAAGTCACCTTATGTGTATTCAGAGTTCACAAAATACCTTGAATCCTAATATCTGACATTGACAAAGAATAAAAATTATCAAAATCCACTTATATCTTCTTAAAAGCTGCCTCCCCCGGTAATACTGAAAAGGAAATCAAAGATTAATTTGTTTGAAGCCATAGGCGACAACTTATTCAATTTATCGTTCCCTCCTAGCTTACTGCCTTGCACATAGTAGGTTTACAAGAAATGAACAAAATGAAGTTGAATATAAAATGAGCAGGCTGGACAAAAAGATATGTATGGTCCCTTAGACCTCATGAGTGACAAACTGTCTCAATGATCAAACTATTAAACATTAAATTTCATGAACGACAAACTGCCTAAATGATCAGACTATCACCGATTATAGTTAATCTTCACAACTAAACTCAAGGATTCACTGCTACGTTAATAATAAAATGTATTGAAGATATTCCTCCTTCCTTAATTTCGATTAATGTAAGCATGGTCAATCCACAGCTCTGAATTTCATTGTTTCACTCTATTACCACAGTATTAAGAATATGCCTAGGCTTTAAGTTTCTAGAAGCATAAAGAAACTGGTGACTCTGAGAAATAGGTATGTTTTGGAGTCAAAGGAATGAAATTAAGACATTTCCTTTTTTTTCTTTTTTCTTTTTTCTTTTTTTTGTGAGGAAGATTAGCCCTCAGCTAACATCCATTGCCAATCCTCCTCTTTTTGCTGAGGAAGACGGGCCGTGGGCTAACATCCGTGCCCATCTTCCTCAATTTCATATGGGACGCCACCACAGCATGGCTTGACAAGCAGTGCGTTGGTCCGTGCCTGGGTTCCGAACCTGCAAACCCTGGGCCGCCCAAGCAGAGCACCCGAACTTAACCGCTATGCCACCAGGCTGGTCCCTTTTTTTTCTTTTAATAATTCCTAATCTCCCTTTGGTGTATTTATTGAGCATCAGTTGTTATTTAACACAATGGTTCTCCTGAGAGAAAGAAAATCATCCTAAAAATAAGAGTTTTCCAGGGATAAAAAGAGATAGCTGCAATAAAAAATACCAGAGGGGAATAATCTTTATACTATATAGCAACTAAAACCTTATCAACAAAAAAATATATTTTTGAAGTCATATCACAGCTGTAGAACTGCCAAAAACTGAACATATTTTTTTTTTTTTTT